GAAAGAGATTTACTGGCAACTCTATTAAATAAAGAAAAAAGTGCTAGTTTTATTGATGCCAAGACTTCCATAACAAGATTGGGGACCTAGTAGAGGAATAACAGCCTAGACACAAAGGAAAAAGTTGTGCAAACCTCAGCACAAGTATTATTCTCCATGTACATCCCCTTTTGGTACCGTATTAAAGGCAGAACTTATTAAATTTACAAAGTCCCTTGCATAGATGTGTTTTGCTCAGGCTAATACTAAAGATACCAACGCAAGCTGGGTGACTCTTGGGATATTTTTTGGAGGCAACATGTTCAGGATACGTTCTTGAACTCTGAGCAGCAGGGTGAACACACTTGGGTTCAACCTTTCTCACCTCCTCAGTCCGGATACATTTATTGCAATATACTCTTGCTCATACTTCAGGTGTATTTGACAAGTCCTGCCAGTGGGTTGTTATGAAGATGCATGCAAAGCACAAACAGTGTGGTTTAATCATTCATTCTTCTGGCTTTTCAGAAAGTCAACCCAAATATTGAGTACTACATAAAAAACAGCACCGATTTCATCGCAACCAAAGATGGACTCATCCTGACAAGTGTGATGCTGCAGTCACTGGGAACTGTAACCATCGAGGTAGGGCAACTTTCTTCATTATGTTGCCAGGGTTGTAGAAGGAAGGGGTAATTTCTAGCACAGAAGCACCAAGGGTGGAATTTCATTAGGTGAAGGATGTAATGAAAGGACAGTCCCAACATTTGCATCATAGTTGTATAGAGATGGAAGGAGATGAAGTGAGAGCAAATTTACTCTGTGTGATACAGGTTATATATGGTTCTAGCTGTAAAATTGTTTCTCCAATCCTGTGAAAAAAAATCATTGGAGACAAGCAAAAGGTCAACTGGAGAGATTTTGGCAGCCCCTTTCCTACACTGTGGTTCTGATCAATAAGAAAAGGAGAGTGAGCAAGTGGGTAGGAGGTTGATATGTAGGTAGGGTATGATGGCTGGCATACACCCCAGCTCTAAAGGCTACAGCCCCAAACTTGGAAATCCTTTGGTAAATCCACTGTATTTTTGCTCAGGTCAAAGGAAGCAGTTAATAATTTTAGACTTTCTAAGAAGCCAGATGTTCACTTTGCCCATCTGCCTGCCAGTGACAACTGGCTCCCTAAGACTTGCTGAGCTCAATGCCATGTGCTAGAGAGCTATGTGAACCAGCTTGACTATAGCATTGTTTTAGCTACACAGGCAGGGCAGAGAGAGAGATGCCAACGCATGCTGCAGCCTGCCCCACGCTACCTCGTTATCTGTGTACAGCACTGTGCTGCAAAGCTGTACACAAATTATGCATTTGGTTCTGGTCCTAGACAGGGAATCTTCAGAGTTTTCCTTCCTCTGTGACCAGGCTGTCCAGCCACAATTGAGGGCTCCTGTGAGGATGTGATGAGGATATGGACAAGGTACTTTGTCCACAAAGGGCCCACCACATAACTTGAGAGTGAGCTGGAGATCTAGGAAGTCCCTAAACTATCTCTTTCCCACGTTCATGTAGGCTGTTGGAAAAGATACGGTGAGCCTGCAGGACGCGAGCACTGTAATCGTGGTGGAGGTCGTCCTTGCTACAGGTAGGCTGGGTGTCTATTTGCTTTTTGCTTTGTGCAGATGACTGGCGAGTCTTTTCCACTCTGTGGGCAAACTAGTAACGACAGATCACTGACTGAAGTCTGTGGACCTGGGCTGAGGCCAGCTCCATACCTACAGGAGGTTCTATGGTGGCTATAAGAGAGAACACACTCAAACAACATCCTTATGATGTGGTCATCACGTGCCTCAAACAGCCTCCTGAGACTTTAAGTAGTGCTGTATATTATAGTGTCTTTTCTTGTTACTCCAAACCTAAATCTGGGGTTGCTTCGTCCAGTTTTGCGGCTCAGAAACAATCCGGGATGTTTTATCATGGCAAAGGAGGGTCACCTTCACACCTTGGTACCGTATTGCTCTTTCTTGGCCAAAAATAGAGAAAACTGCAACATTGTTTCCTGTCTTATGCAGAGCAGGCAGAAGTGGGCACACCTCCGCACAGCCAGGCTTCCTCGTGAGTCAAGGCGTTTTCTGCTTGGGTCAGGTCAAGTTCTTATACTGCAAGATTTTAAGATCTTACTAGGAGAAATGACCCATGGGAAATAAGATAGATGTGAGGCTACATACATAAACCTCCAGCTATCATTTGGTTTTGTTGACGTAAAAATATCTTACACTTATATACTTCTTAGAAATGGCTCTTAAATAGATCTTATAAATCAGTTAGATTTGAAGCTTATGAAACTTCTTATACTTTGGATTAAGATGAACGGATATGATGCATTTTCACATCAGCGTAGGCAGATAACTCCCAGACTCCATCGGTTTCTACATGTGTGACTGAAGTTCCCAGTTGGGCTCTTCCATTGCTTCACCCTCTTATCATCACTATCATGGGGATTTCTGAAGGAAAAAGAAGTGGGCTCCTGGGTGTAAATTTGGATTCCCTAAAGATAGTGTCACTTCTCAGCTAAAAAAACCTGGCTGCTTAAAAACCAAATTTAAGGGCACAGTCCAGCTCAGCAGAAAGCTAGTTCAGATGTCAGTATACAGAGCTGCAAATGCTCAAACAGATGTACCAACACTTTTATGCAACTTTTAAATGTTACCCTTGCTATTTAAACCTCACAAAATAATGATGCAGGTAACTATGCAGAAAAGTAGGTTGAAATTACACTGAATGGCTCAGAGCATATGAGAGGAATTGTGCTTTATTCTATACTATAGCCAGCACTCGGGAGTGGCCTAAGCAGAGCTAGTATTACCATTTGCTTGGCCAATCTATAGGATACTTAATGCTCAACTCTAAGAGGTGGTGTTAAGGAATGCACATGCAGGGGGTTGGAGAGTGCTTTACTGAGTGTTCCACTATCCAGGGAGAAACTACAGTAATTTTTATTATACTATCCTTCTGGGAAGTTGTAACTGTACTTTGGCCTCTGGTTTCTGAGACACTGGTGTCAGAGCGAGCTCACACAGATTTCAAGGTGAGTCATTCCACCAAGCTGAGCTAGCTTTCACAAAGGCACCGCATATTGCACAGCACAGAAGGAGTTGAGGGCGGTGGAGTTTCACATCAGCTTTGTGGGCTGTGGCTCCCTAGGAGACACGATTAAGAAGCAAAAATTCACTGATGTCCTAAACTCTGATCAACGTATTAATCATAAACTGAGAGAGCAATCAAATGTGGAGGGAATACTCAAAGTCCATTGTCATAAACGGGTCAGCAGGAGAACAAAACTGTGTTTCATTAATCATTAAACTTTCAGGAAACTAATTCACACTACAAAATGAAGCTGGAAAACTTAAAGAATCCCACTGACAACAACAAGCAAAGCTGTTTAACCCTGAGGAGATTTTTGTCTTTCCACTACAGTGTTGATCTCTGTACAAATATGCTTACACTGACTGGTGGCTGAAAGCATAAGCAGCTCCTGAGAAGGCTGATGTACAGCAAGAAAAGAGCAAGAAAGGTTTTCCTGTCCTGGGAACCTTCTAGTGCTTTTTCTATTTCTTATTATGCTTTTTTATATCCTATTTTAATGTGCCCATCAGTATCAGAGGTGACATTCCGGATTAAAGGAAGATTTGCGTTTTCACACACATATGTACAAGTGTACCACCTCATTTTTGCATGCTGGTGTAAATAGGTGAAGTGAAAAGGTGCAAGATCTACCTAGCTTTACTCCATGTAACATCTGCTTGCCTAATACAGTCACATATGTATTAGCTTAGTTAAATCATGAGGTAAAAGTCATTGTGCTGTAAATGGATGCTATTTCCACTTCATGTAACTTATTGGAAGTTATAATATTCTGTGAGGGGTCACCTTTAAAAAAAAACCCTCTGCTTTTAGCACAGCAAACAAATGGCCTTCTGTGACATTGAATATATCACTGTCCACGTTCCACAGCACAGGATGATTCTTTGCCCCTTAAAAATTTGTTGGAGCTTCTCTCAAAATGAAATGCGTTAAAAAAAGCTAGCTGCCGTTTTTAGGCTTTGTAATGCTGGTTTGTTTTTGTTGTAGCTGCAGCCTCCTCTGATAAGACACACACTGCTCAGGATATGGCTATCTTAGGTGGTACGTTAGCAGCACTGCTATTAATTTCCTTAGTCTTCCTTGGAGTGATGATATACAAACAGTATGGAAAACCAATCAAATTCCTGATAAGGAAAAAGGTAAGTGCCTTGTGTGTACCTGAATTTCTTAAAGGTAGGAATTGGGATCTGGTGAGGTTTTAAAATATGGATGGGCTGTTCAAATACTACACGTGTTTGTGTGAAGGTGATGAATCACTCCTGAGACAATGTTTGCAAAGCATCGCTTTGGTGGTATTTGCTGCTGTTATTTTCCGCTCCCTGAGTCTGGAGCCATGTGGTAGATGATAAGCAGACATGGTAAGGAGAGGACCACAGCTCCATGGAGTACAAAATCTAGCTTGAATGTGACACATCTTGGAGGCAGTCTCTGAAAAAACTTTGTCTGTTGATAAACCGCTATTCATGCTTCCTCTGTAGTCAATGGAGAGAAAGGTCCCTTCATATCCTATCCTAATGCTTGTTCTTAGACAGTAGTCTGCACCTGAGCTATTTACCTTTGGGTGTCTCAAGTCCCTGGCAGTCTGATTACTTTGACGTTTAGGGCATAATTTGTTTGACCAGATGTTGGTCTTTGCCTTAGGATGGGACTGTGAGGAGCCTGGACTCTGCTGATAACAACATGAGTCCAGAGCACATAGCTCAGGTGAGTAACAACAGTCCTTCACCCTGAGTGAGGTAAATCTCACTCCAGAGTGATACCTCAAATGGATGGGTACAAATCCGTATACATTGCTGGTGCTCAGCACTCCTGGAAAACATGCCCATGCTTATCTGAAAAAATCCAGAAATTGAGTCAATAAAAAATAGCTGCTCTAGGGAGCCATCTCTTTCCCAGGCTTCAAATAAGTCTAACTGCAAAACAAGTTGAAGCTTTACTGAGCAGGAGCTCAGGCACTTCGGTCATCCCTTTTTCACCTTTCCCTTGTTTGTTTTCCTTTCACTACAATCACAAGATGTCTCTCCTCCTGTAGTTCTCCAGGGAAGTCTCTGGGGGTTACCAGAACCAATCTTATGAACAAGATGAACACCCAGATGTGAGCACCAAACAGCATGAGACGCCAGAAAACAGCAGTGTCCATTCGATGACACATGTGCTAGAACAGCCAGCGCTTTCCTTGCCGTCTTCCAATACAGAAGAAATTGATAGCTTCTCAAACGCTTTTATAGCTTCCACCATCATCTTTGACCGGGAAGAGAAAGAGAAAGCAGTGGAAGAAGAGCCTGAGCGTGAGAAAGAAGTGAAGTCTATCCTCAAGACAGACAGGCACATGGCAGATGATGGATACAAAGCAGTGTGGTTTAAGACTGATGTGGACCCAGATGCTGGAGAGAGGGTTGAAGTGATTGAGGAAAATGCAGCAGATGGTGATGATGAGAGTGACCAAGATCTGCAGAAGAATGAGAAGGAGAAAGAAGATGGTTATGACAAAGATGATCACCACAGAGGGCTGGGAGTGTCTTTTGCCTCTGAGAGCTCATCACTCCCAGTTGCAGCAGTGACAGTCAACATGTCTCACACAGATGTGACAGAAGACGACACTGACATATAATGAAAATAGGCTTGCACTCTTCCCAGAAAAATCAGGGAATCTCAGCTGCTTTGCTGACATGAAGCCCATCTTTCTGCTCAGCAGGGAAACTGGAATGCAGGAGGACAAGGTTGCCTGTCCTGCTTGTCTGAATGCAGTGATTAAAGCTGGAAGAGATTACAGCTAATTCAACCTTTTAGTGAGATCTTGAAACATCACTTAGGATTTTGGGTGGGGGGAACACGTCCCATCTCTCCACCTTTTTGCCTGTTCTCCCTGGGGTCCCTTACATCACATTTCCCAAACTGGCTGCAGGTACAGCAGAGATGTAGCTGAACTGACTTTGAAGCAGTTAGCCCAGCTCGTGGTAGCAATTTCGTTACACAACCCAGTGATCGTCTCCTCTCAGTGGGTAAATAAGCCAGCACCGACTGCTTGGGCCGCTCCCTTTAGCGTGTTGCTGTTTGATGCCAGCTGCAGGGCATAAGCCAGCACAAGTCACCCTGGCACCACAGCTGGACACATGACTGTATCCAGGAGCTCACTTCAGGGCTTAGCTCTGCTCTCCGCCATGTCAGACTCTGTGGTCCCAGCACAAGCAGCTGGCATATCACCATGGTCCTTGTCCTGCCAGCAGCCGAGTTTACATCCTCAGAAGCTGCTGTTTCCTCTATCACTCTTAAGCAAGGACTGATCACATATTCTTTACTGAAGGACTTTATAATCGATTTTTCTGCACTAATTGTGCAGTACTTTAGCTGTCTCTCTCTTATCTGTCAGGGAAAAGAAGAGTTTCTGTCAGGACCTGCTTACAAAATAGCAGGGGTATTTCCAGGTCTCTGGGCTTCTGGCAGCAGTGGGTATCATTCCGGGGGTGCTGGATGTGGGGTCAGCACATTGTTTCCCATTGTTTCTCTTGTCCAAAAGGGCTCAGGGTGTCCCTTTTATCATTGCTGCTGAAGGTGGAGGTCATGTCGTGGGTTAGGTTGAACGCCCCCCTCC